CCCAGTGCTATTTATAAATCGGTTTAGTGTTATTTGATAATAGGATTTTGTGTAACTAGGAAAATGGTCTAGGTGAACATATCCAAACCACTACTCTAAATTTAGCGTAGAAAATCTAGCCCGAATGATTTTCATTTGAAAAAAAATAATAAAATCTAAAACGTAAAAGACTAAGTATAAAATTTCATTGAAATAAAAAAAAATCCCCATAAACTAAATTTCACCGTCAAAACTAAAAAAAAATCTCCAATCTCCCCAAAACAAAAACAAGAACGAGGAGACGAACGAATCCAAAATGGATTCCTCCGCCAGTACGCCGAGCACTGATTTTCTTTTCCAAATTGGCATTGTAATGAATGAAAATTATTGTTATTATATATTTTTTTGTTTATGTTATCCAATATTCTATTCAAATGCGGTCCAGTGCTCTATCATGTCCTGCATCCGCCGCTGGGTACAAATTCAGTTTGTACATTTATACTATGGTACAAAAAACTGAACTTGTATCATAACATAAATGTACAAATTCATTTATGATACAAACTGAACTTGTAGCTTTAACATCATGGTACAAGTTCAATTTGTACTTTGAAACACATATACTTTAGAGCACAGTAGAAAAGGTTGTTGAGTTTTTTTCCCCACTTCCATTAAGTACAAATGGAGTACACAAAACACGTATCCACAGTTCCTAATACAAGAAAGGCAGAATCTCGGTGATGGATTCCAAAGAGGAACAGTAAAATGTAAAATACCACAAGAACAAAACTACTTCTAACAGAAATACCTTCAATGCCTAAAGCTCGTTCCACAGACCATATGAGTTGTGCCAATGGTCTCCACATAGCTTGTAAGTTGTAACAATGGAGTACTCCAATATATATAATTTGGAACATAAAGGTTAAGCTGCAATATATATATATGATCCCATAGTGATAATAGTGATATTTGTGGTTCATGAACTATATTCTTTTGAAGTGACCTTTGAGAGAGGTATTACTATTGTCCAAATGTGGCAAAGGTATTGGATTCATATATCAAATAGGTGAGTTGATGGATTCATTGATTCTATTAAATGGATTCGTAGATCTCAGTGGCTTCTAAAGTTTGGGCAATCATGAAAATTTTAGGTGATAAAATGTCAATGGTAAAAAAAAAAATAGCTACCAAAATGTAATTTTGAAGAATATTTTGTAAAAAATTAGAACTTGGGTATCCATTTGCAAAATATAAAAGCTGTAGTTACTAATATGTAATCTTATAACAATCCATGAATCAGTAATTCAGTTGAATCTAGGTGAATTGAATTAGTTGAATCTTGTAATGAATGAATTATTAGCCAAATTTTTTTCCAGATGGATTGGATTGGGTTGATTTGACTGAATTGAAAACGTGGAATTTTGCTCAATTTCCACAACCAATTCCTTGCTTTTGTAAAATGTGAAAATTCAAGCAAATTTCCACGTTTGGAAAATGGTTTATTTTTGTGGGAATTGGTGGTATGGAATTTTGAGGAAATACAAGATGCCCTCTTTGATTTATATATATACAAGGAGTGGTTCATTACCAACTATTGCTACTGTGTTTCTACTAACGACTAGTTGCTGCTACTAGCTGCTTGTAACTAACTACTGATTGCTGCTACTATTTAATAACCGCTGCTAACTACAAAATCACAAGCCAATTAGTGTGTCAAGTATCCATTAATATGAGATACCAATTTATACATTTATCTCCAAAAGAAAGCAAAGATAAAGAGAGCAGCAGAACACGGCCCAATTTATACCAATCTTGAAATTCCGGGGGGGGGGGGGGCCGTAATTCTCATTCCCGCGTCTGTTGTAATTGGGCCAATTCCTACGGCCCAATTTCCATATTTATTTTTCGCTGCCAAACATGGAATTTCCAGCCAATTACTGCATAACGTGGGAAAGAGGGCCAATTCCCACGTTCAATTCCCACAGCCAAACGACACCATAATATTAGGCCCCTAAGGTTCTATGAAAAAAATTCTTACAATGTAGCCGTTTCAAATTTGAAGGTCGAATGTTCAAATTTCAGAAGCTACAAATCAAAGATGCATTCCAATAAATCAAGTTATTTGAAATCCTTGACAAAGTTTCGTCCCTTATTTTTCCAGCTAGGTTATCAACTTCAGGTAAAGATACATAATTAAGTTTGTTTAACATATTAAGTGAAGGAAATAATGTCCAAAACAAAGAATTTTTGGTTGGTAAAATATAGGCGACTAGCTACTACATTCTTGTAATGTTCTAATTAATTGAATAATCAATATGATGGCGAAGGTGAACTGTAAATATATAGCTTGCGTAAGATAGTAATATAGTACTATTAATTTTTAAGTAAATAGTTTCAAACCCCACAAGATCTCATTTTGTATACACTATACAGCAAAGACTTATAATTGAGTGCTACATTCATTAAAAAACATATCGAGGTGTTGATTTCTTGTTGTCTCCCATATAACATTTGGATTAAACAAATAATACTGATTATTCAGCAGAGAGGATTCTGGAAAGATGGGGATACATACGTACATTCATTCTTTTGTCCAATACTCTTAATTTTAGATGGCGATAGGTAATTAAAGAGCTTAGCAATTAGGTATGGTTAATAATTATTGCATAATTATTATTCGTGATTATTACAATTCATGATGAATTTCGGATATTTCATGATTGAGGGATGAAGTGGTCAACCATCGCGTACTTAAATGGTTGCATAATAAGATTGTTGGTGGTTGATTTGGTTATGAAATATGTGACAATAAAGGTCAATCAAATACGAGAGATAAGAGATTGAACAATCACATACTAAACACAAAAGTTCACATAGTTTGATAAATGTCTATTAAAAACTATTGCGTAAATATTTCTTATGTCTAATCGAGTTATATATATGAGTGCATACCGCTACTCATTCTCCTGGTTATGTAGATCATGTTCTGCTTAAAATTTTTGTAGTCATGACTAAACGAGTGAACTGTGTCCAAATTACTGAACTACTAGTACTCAATCTAAATTATAGAATATGCTAAACTCTCAATCGAAAGCATATCCTCCTCATCTAGCTCTTAATATTCCGTCAAATTACAAAAATGATTAAAAAAAATTATTCATCGTGCCAAGTCTCGGACCACGTTGCTTGAATCAAATCACGGTATTTGTTGATGTGACTTGAATCGGACTATCAGCCGCTACGACTGGTAGACGGGGGTCTCGCTGCCCGGTCAGCGAGTGGGGTCCAGGGGCAACGCCCCCGGCCCACGGTCTATGGGCTCAATGTTATTTGGGTTCGGGTTCTGGGTCTGGCCTGTAACCGTTTCCTTTGCCATATTGGATTAGGTTTAGACCCACACGGAGAAGTACTATAAATACTTCTCATACTCCTCTGTAATCTGTAATCTCCTCGATATAGTGAAACTGGCTCTCTCTCTCGCCCGTGGACGTAACTAACACACATCGTGTTACTGAACCACGTAAATCGTGTGTCGTGTTTTCGATTCTCGCTTTCGTATTCTTGCTTTATCGATTCCAGCGATTTCCCGATCCTTAGCAGCGCGTTTATAACAGTATTCTCTTGAAACAATGCTTCTAATTCACTTTATACATGGTAGACAAATGAGAGATATCTTAGGTATTGTATCTCTTTACAAACATCCAACAAAACTGGACGGTCTTACATCAAATTGCTGACCCGGTTCTCTGTATAAAACAGAGCTGCCACCCAGCAAGCCTAATTTAATGTTGCAGTTGGGACAAATGAGTTACAGAACTTTCTTTTCTTCCTGCCCCATAACATAAGGGCAGGGAGTCCTTCATTCTCGACCAAAGCGATTGGAAGAGCTGAGCTGTATCCCAGTACTACACTTACACTACACTACTACTCCATTCTGCCCCAGTAGTTTCAACATTTGATTGACGGCGTAAAAGGCTCCCTCCTTTTTTATAATATCAAACTACTGCATGCTGCCCAATTTGACTCCACTCTTATGAACTCGTCAAACGGTCCGACCCCGATTGACTTTCGGTTCTTAATTTATTTCATTTCGTGTTTACTGACCACCACTTTGATAATGATTCATTACTAACTCACAAAAAGTTAGGAGATTAAGTAATTAACACATGTTGAAATATTCATGAAAATAAGCACACGTACTTTTGAATTTAAGCATCAAAATTCATTAATTAATTGTGGTTTCCAAATCGTTCGGCTAGCTGGGCTGCATGAATGGTTGGTTGGTCGGGTGGGGCGGGGGTTGACTTCTGTACAAGGTTGAGATGAATCCGTCAGATGCATATAATCGGATCCAATTTCCCCCGAAAGAGACATCGGCCAGCCCAGTAATTAGTCCACGCCGAGGCCCAGGACCAGGCCCAGCCCGCCGTTGACGAGGCGCGCGGATTGGAGAGAATTGGCGGTTTCTCTTCTCTAACCTTCCTTCCGTTTCGGTCACTTGACTGGGCCGATTCGAGCAACGGCATAAGCAACCGGAATCCCAATGATAGTATTGGCTTGTAGCATAAGCAAGCGCATGGTGTCAGGCTGTCAGCTCCGAAGTCTCATCTCGGGTCGCTCAACTGCGAAATACTCGCTCCAGTTTGGAAGTTGCTTTGAGGATCCGCTGTTAAGAATGCATTTCTACATGGAGACTCGAAAAGGACTAGCTTTTACATGGATCGTGAGTCCGCGGACCACAACCATTGATTCCATGCAATGTACAGAACCAGCACACAAGTGCACTCAAATATTGCAATCTCTGGTTTGGCAATCCAGCAACATAAAAACATTCCTACCCGCTTCAGCCAATTTCGACTTATGCAGCCTCCCGAATACAACACCTCCTTGTGAACGTCCCCAACCGGCGGCCCAGGTTTAACCAGGCAAGAACCGGTCTTTCCCTGGATTCGATTATGGTCCACTACCAGCACCCAAGAATCAAGAGGCAAAAGCTAGGAAACCAAAGAACAAGTGAAAAGGCTGCAAATCTTTTCCAGTTAAGAAGTCTGGAAATTCAAAACCCAAGCTATACTGCCCGTCGACTAAACAAAATATCTCGACCACTGCATTGTAATAAGAGATGATAGAGATCAAAGTGAGCGTTCTTCTTTTGAATAAAAAATAGAGAATCTATTTCAGATGCTTCTGTGACATGAAATCCTCTTCGAAATCAAACACGGGATCCTCAATAAATTTATATTATTTCTGTCCATCTCTTTCCGCCGTGAGGAGAACGAAACAAGGGGTGAAAACTCCTAAGCTGTGGACTTACCACAAGTCTGTGTTCAAACGTTACATTTGAAATGAAACCCAATGAAGCTTTGGAGACTGCAAGGGGTTCTAATTGCCAAATTCCAGACACAAATCCAGCAAAATGCCATACCTCAAATTGGAGTGGATTCCCAAAAGCTACATAGAGAAGGTCACCCCGAATCTCGGTTTGCCACGGTCATGTTCAAATTTCTTCATCATGTAATAGTAGTTCACCTGCAACCAAAATCAAATGCATATTTAGTGAAGCAACTCGCATTGGAGTCTAATTACTGGATTTTCTCACGGCACTGCTCGTTAAAATAACTTTTCCAACGCCTCTTGAAATGGAATTCAGGGCACTGACCTCAAGGCGGAATGGCTGGATTGGAACAACAATCCCAGCACCAACAGAGGTTCGAAATGAAGACACAAACTTCTGCAGAGAGAAATCTTTGTATGCATTTTGCGTTAATCTCTCGAGATTTCCAGCGGATGCAAATATGTGGCCATGGATTCCTCTATCTCTGAACCATTTCAGCGGGAAATCGAGAGAAAGATCAGCAAAAGCAGTAACAGCAAGATCTCCTCCAAGAAAATCAACTCCAGGATCCGCAGCATCCTCAGTATCACCATCATTGCTCTTCAGTTGCCTTCGAGACTCTGTAGGGCCGAGTCCCCTGGTTCTGTATCCCCATACCGTTGTTGGGCCCCCCAGACTGCTAATTGGAGATGAATTGCCACCTAAGAAGAACCTATCGGGCAGAGGTGAAGGCATGTTTTTGAAACCAGCTCCCCATGGGAAAACAATGCCGCCAGAGATCCCAAAGTTGAGAGCAGAATTCAGAATTCCAAGCGGGATGGCATAACGAAGATCAACCTCCTGTTTGAAGTACATATTGAGTTATTAAAGATGAACTGGAGGCATAAAAGCTAAGTGAGAATATGAATCACCGCAAAGACTAAGCCATCAGCTGATGAGCCAAGCAGACTGGCCAAAGAAATTTGGAAATAACTGATAACCCAAATTAGATACGCAAATAAATAAAAAACCCATTTCTGAGCAGGCCATTTTACCATCAGAAAACAAAGAACTCGCAGGGAAAATACCAACTAAATGAAGGGGGGAACACCAACTCGTTGTAATGACAAGAGATCACTTTCTCGAAGAAAAGAATAAAAGATGCACCACCAATTCAACTATTATACTGTAGCAGAAAAGAAATGCAACCACAAAGAAAGTGTTATACTGCCAAGAAGGAAGTCCAAAACAGCAACTCTTGGAAACACAGAAATATAAACTCCAGTCTCCAGCCAATAAATTACGGCAGTCTGTAGTTCATGGAATGTAGTGCGACTGTGTGAGTAACAAAACTCCAGAAAACATGTAAGAAAGCGATATGTGCATTCTCACAAGTTACAGCACACAATACCCCCATAAGCACATTAATAAATAAGGCAGTCATAGGACATAGTTGAAAGGAAATCATGCACCTGGCGTAAGAAACGTGAGCACCGACTATCCGGTGCAAGGCCAGCAATTTGGGAGGTAGCAGCAAAAGCATATCCCCGAACTGGGCGCAGAGTTGAATTTCTCCTGTCAACCTTGAAAGTATATTTCAAAGATGACAGTAAACTGTGCCCAAGCTGCCTCCTTACTGACCTGGATGCCAGCTGTGATGGATCAGTCAAGGTACGCCAACCAAGATTGTAGACCAAGTCATGGTTCCTAGAGGAGAGCAAGGCGACAGAAAGGCCCATTGACCTCTCTTTGAATGAAGAGAACTGCAGCCAATCTTGGGATAGCAGGAATGCCCGGACATCCAAGGGGAATGAAGATCCTCTGAATCTTGGGAAATGCACACCAGCACTTAGCTCCGATATATGGTCCCAACCATATGCAAAAGAGCCATCCCAAAGATCGCCATGACCAAATATGTTTTTGAACTTTAGTGTTCCTTCGACAGTCGAGGATCTTGCCTGCAAAACCAGCACAAAATCCAGATAGCATTGACAAAATATTAGGTGTGTGTACCAGTAGAAGGTTTGCAAACCTAGGAAGCAGGATTCATTCATCATTTCGGGTGTACTTCAAATCCAAACCCAGGATATCTCTCAACAATCAGAATTAACGACAAGATAAAAAAAGCTTGCTTTAGCACGACATCTGTTCCACCTCATCCATATTACAGGTGATGAATTCCACAAAGATACTCACAATTCCAAGTAAGAAAATCACAAGACTGGTCAGAAGCAAGGGCGAGAGGCTCGTGGTCTGGTGTGTTAAGTCCTCCAATGCATTTCAACGAATACAAATAGAAAGCAAATATAGGCATTCCCACTTATCCTTAATACCACCTTAGGAAACTGGTATGCAGACATCATCAGAGTAAGGGCAAACGATATCAAGCATCAGGTAAATAATAAAAGAAGTAAATTGTAAAGACCACGTCCATTCTTCTCCCCTCCTCAGCTGGTGTCCTAAACTGGAATCCCAATGTTCAATCCTAGCTTCCCAGTATGGCTACTAGTTGCAAATTCGTTGAATTAGATAAAACTGAGCCAAAACTCGGATAATTTGTCTAAAATGGAACTGTGATTCCTCTACACACTAATGTGTGCATAGAGACGCAATGCCACATGATATAGAATTCGCTTCTTCAATTCCTCAATCAGTTCAACCACCACGTACAAATATGAGGCACAATTTGTAAGAGGCAATACCTCGGCCTTTGTGTAAGCTCCAATTTCGCCAGAAAGGGGGCTTTTAGCCTCCTGAACCTCCACGATGACGTTAGACGTCCCAGGAAGCTCCGGAGGGCCAGAATCGAGCGTGATCTTGACGGAATCGAATACCTCTAGCGCTTGCAGCCGGAAATTCACAGCTCTGGAGACCTCGAGGATCTCCTGCATAGTAGTGCAGTTCTTCAGCAGCGCCGCCTCCGATTCGATCAGGTAATCCTTAGTCTTCGTGTTCCCCTTAATCAGCACATCGTGGACTCGAAGTGGCACGCTCTGCGTCTGCAGCCGCTGGAAGAGGCCCTCCAGCTTTGCCCGTTGCATTCGGACTGCCGATTGTGGAGTTCGCACCCGCGGTTCGGGTTCGGGTTCATCCTCTTCTTCCTCGTCGAGCTCGTCCTCTTCTGTGTCTTCAACTTCTTCTTCGTATCCGCCGTCGCCATTCTCGTCGTCGGTGTCGTCTGCTTCGGTTTTAGGGTTTTCGGACGGCGGGTCCGGCTTGAACTCGTCGGGCTTCGCCATCGATGGGTGTGTAGTAAGAGAGAGGGGCTTTCGCTGGGGAGAGAAGACTGGAAATTACAGCGGCCGACTGGCCTTGGCTAAGCACTTCTTTTTACTTTCGCCGGTGTGGCGTGGCCTTTTTGCCCCTCGCCGTGATGTTTGCAACTGCTACACTCCTCTCCTGAATAGGTTGGAATCCTGGCCGGATTGGGTTTAGCCGAACCGAATTGAGTAGTTTGTTTTGTTAAAAAAAAAATGTGTGACCAAGGACAAGGAGTAACTAGTTAAGTAGTAATGTAACATCCCGAACCTTTTCCCGATGAATATATTGTTCGCTTTGGATTTCGATACTGAGCACGTTAAGCATTTAAGTTCTCACAAGAACTCCTCCGTTCCACCCCAAAACGCGTATTGTCAGTTAAGGTCGGTTCCTACTTATGAATCATGAATCTCTACCGTGCTTTGTCGATGGGGATTTGCCTAAAGTGTTACTCTTGAAAAATAAAGGTATCAAAGTGCCTTTCACAAAAATAAAGGTACTAAGTTGCCCAAATTCAAAATCAATGTCTTCCTCCTCCGGCTCCACCGACCACCGCAGCACCGCTTCATTTGTGTCGGCAGAGAGTAGAGACCACTGAGGCACTGACCGGAACAATGCAGGCGCCGCTGCAGATGTTATCTTCTCTTCTGTCGCCTCCGAAATCAAATCCTACTCCGGCAAGGATCCTCTTCTCCCCTGGCTCCGGTACTCTTTCCACCCACTTTCTCTCCACTTCTCAATATCTCTGTGCCTGATTTCTTCGGTATGTTCTTTCTCTCCATATCTGCAGAGGGATAAAGAAACTGAGAGAATCTCTGCCTCCAACTCAGCTGAAAGAAAAGCTACCTCGCTTCTTTCACAAATGCGCTCAGACATTTGAGTCTGATGAGCGCTACAGGAACGATCCTCGCTACCTTCGAGTTTGGTTGCAGTTGGTAACTCAACTCCACCCTCCGTTATTCCTTTCTCAAGATCGATGATTTTTAGGGGCTTCTTTGTGCTTGGTTCATTTTATTCTTCTACTGGTCCAATGGAGAAAGCCAAGCTAGCTGATTTTCTATGTTCTATCGTTCTATTGAAATTACCATTACTATGTGGCCATTTGATTTATAGTTTGGTGGCGAATCTTTAGGGAATTGAGGGAAGATGGATTATGTGGATGAACCAAGTTCGCTATTGAGAACCATGGAGAAGAATCAGATTGGGATGAAGAGGTCATTGTTTTACCAAGCATATGCTTTGTGCTATGAAAAGATGAAGAAATATGAGGCGGCTGAGCAGATGTACCAGATAGGTGTCCAGAAGTAAGTCCTTGACCCCCTCATTTCTTTAATCTTTAACCAAATACCCACCTTGATGTATTTTGGGGAAATGATGATGTAAACAAGTTTTTGCTCTACTATTTTCTATTGTTGTTAAAAGTTTTTGGGTGGAAAACCAGCCTTGCTGAGCCTGTTGACGAGTTGCAAAATCGTATGAACAGTTTCTTCATCGTATGCAGATCGCCTTAAGAGCTGATAAAAGACCTGTACAGCTGCAGTGAGGACTGATGTGAACAATGAAACGTATGCATTACTAAAGCTGAAGGGAAACAAATTCAAGATGGAAGCACTGGTCTTGTGAAGAAGCCTTTTGAGGAATCCAACCGTCCTGGATCAAATGGAAACAGCAGCTGGAATGGTGGGTTTGAAGTCTATGTGGATTCAAACGTGGAGGTCAGTGGAACCAAGCCATTGAGCAATGCTGGAAAGAAAGAGCCTCTTCAAATATTGATCGACGATGAAATGCACCAAGAGGCTGAATTTTGTGAAGAGGAGGAGGAAGAAGAAGACTCCCCTTTTGTATTCACATGTCCGCAGGATCTTTCAGCATCTGAAGAAGGTGGCTCGAGGTCCCCAAGAAACAAACTTACGAGGGAGGATACAGTGGTTCATCGGTTTGTTGGGTCCACCATTTCGGACGAACCGGAAGTGGAGAATCTATGCCACCATGGGTTGGTTGATCCCACAGTGAACTTGAAGCAAGCCATGGAAGACATCAACAACATGTTTGGGGAGCCCATAGAGTTTGCAAGGGCCAAGGGAGCAAAGCAGCCGGTGAGACAACAACAAGAACAGCAACAACTTGGTGGTGGTGGGTTTTTTATACTGCCCGATGATGATGAATTTGATGGAAAACAAAGCCAGCCAGTGAAGAAACAAGAACAAAATGGTGGTATTTTTTTGTACTGCCTGATGGTGATGTCGTTGATCATAAACAAAACCAGAATGGGAACAAGATGCAAGAAAAAGTTGGCGGGTTGTTGATATTGCAGGATGATGATGATGCTGTTGATGATAACCAAAACCAGACAGGTAAGAAAATGCAAGAAGAAGTTGGCGGGTTCCCAATATTGCCAGCTGATGTTGATGTTAATCATCATCAAGAAAGCAAAACATCATCATCTGATACAAGGGGATCAGACTTGTTTGAGCCAACTTTGTTCACTATACAGGCAATGCATGACATTAACAAGTTGTTTGGGACGCTACTGGATTTTTAGCCCTTATAAGGGTAAGTGGCTTCTTCTCCTTGTTGAAACAAAGTTTCATTTTCTCAACCTTTGTCTTTTGTACTGCTGCCTCTTGTAGAAGCTTTGAAGTCTTAAGTTTATGAAGATCAACACTCTGCTGTTTGGGATGCCACTGGACGTTAGAGACTTTGGAGGCTATTGATGGGTTATAGGGAATAATGCAAGGAGGTCAGGAACACAAGAGAGACTAACACTCTGCTAAAAAGATTCAACTCATTTGAATGCGGGTACAAATTGCTGATAGACGATCTTGATCAGCATTGAGAACTCAACACAAGGAAGATCTTATACTCCAACAAAAAGAATGAAAACCAGAAAGAAAATGCTAAGGTAAGGGCTTGAAACCCCACGACAAAGAAAAAGGTCATTCATGTTTTTAACCATGATGGTTTGAGCATGTTTCTGGGCGGAAAGCCAAGGGACCAGCTGCATATATCACAGCCTCATAGTGAGGAGACCTCAACACCTTACCCTCAGACCTGAGCTTCGCTCCATCGATGCCATAATTAAGATTGGTACGCACATTGCAGGTCGCGAGAGGGGAAGAAAGAAGCTTCACAGTGCAGGCCTGGAGGGGATGATCCAAAACTCCATGGCTCAACTTGAACCCGTCGAGTTGTGCATAGAAGTAGCCGTGTTTATCAGCCTGGTAGGCCTTGTAAAAGCTCACCTGGTGGCGCGAATTCTTGCAAGTCACGCTAACTCTAGCTGATGGGATTGTCTTGGCGCCTATCAAAGACCACGACCCGGCATACTTGCAGCTCTGGCAGTAGACGACTCCTTCCACCACGACGTCAGATTTCTTCTGTGGGGTTGTGGGAGCGTGGTGGTACTTGGGTTGGACAGCCATTGATGGGAGGACGAAGAGCAGAAGCAGTGAGCAGACGGTGATGAGATGGCTGTTGTTGGCTGCCATGTCTAATTCTGCAGAAGATTGGAAATGTCTTTTGCGTTTTGATGAGATGTGAGCTGCATTTGTGGGTATTTATACATAAGAGATGTTGAATGGGTTGTTAGTGGACGTGGTGACTACTTAGTAGTTAGTAGGGGAAGAGCTTTGCGCCATGGAATCTTCAGAGATCTGTGGCGTGTATGTGATGTGATGGCCACATTCTTCTTCTTCTTCTTCTTTCTACTAAGCATGGCCAAATTATGGGATTTTGCAGTGTGTTGGATACAGGGGAAACTGAAGTGCTGAGTTTTCAATTTTACTGGTTGTTAATAGTGTGTTAGTGATTGGTGGTGTCTTTTGGGTATTATCCAAAATGGGGTTAGGGATTTTGTAGTTGAATGAGCAACTGAGGATTCCATTATCGATTTCTACATGGATCCAATCCCCTTTGACTGATTTTCTTATTCATTTCCTATGCTTCTAATTCGACTTTATTTTAAGTTATCATCATTCAGATGCATTTTAAAAAACATAAAAATATGATCACAAGCCGTACCAGCAGTATCCTCTGATTATTTTGGAAGGTGAAGTTTATTTGTTGGTTCCAAATAACTCTTGACAAGTCGAATCCAATAACTTGAGTTATTCAGATCAATTGATTCTTACCATTATATTATAGCTGATTTGATAGTAAATTTTGAGAGTTTATTTCATATAATTATTATTAATAGGATTAATATTAAGAAAATTGTTAGTAGTAGTTCAGTCATATTAAATTTATTATTAGAATTTCCTAGTATTCTTTATGTACTTTTGGTATTCAGTTGGAAAAATCAAGAAGAATATTAAGAAAATCACCTAAACTCTAATCTCTCTTAATTCTCTCAAGTTCTCTTCTCATTCTAATCTGACCGGCGCCTATTCTTTCTGTTCTTCTCCAAATTCTCAATCTCAATCTCCAATTCTCTTCTAAATCTCTAAATTCCTATCAATTGCCAATCTCACCATGTCACACGTCTCAATTCTCACGACTTGTAATGAATTTACTTTCATTTGAAAGAGCATATAAGAAAATCTTAAGTAAGATTCACACATAGATAGAATTTTTTTTTATAAAACCAATTAGTTTTTCACACGTTAAATAATCAACCAGTACAAGTGTACAACATGATCAGAAAATTATATATCTTTGCATCCGCATAGCCTTTAAAATTTGTTCCTGATACACAACTCAAACAGAAAAAACAAAAAAACAAGTCCAACCCCGAAAAATCCCATAACAAAATGTCAAAAACATTGAAGGGTCGTTAAAAATCAATCAACCACGATTGACGTCATCTTCATCAACTTCAGCAGGGCACTCGCTGGGCCGGAAAGCCAAGGGCCCAGCCGCGTAGACCACAGCCTCATAGCTCGCGGACCTCAGCACCTTGCTCTCGAACCGCAGCCTGGCCCCGTCGATCCCGTAGTTCAGATTGGTCCGCACGTTGCAGCTCTCTAGCGGTGAAGAGACCAGCTTCACTTTGCAGGCCTGGAGCGGGTGGTCCAGAATCCCGTGGCTGAGCTTGAGCCCAACGAGCTGGGCGTAGAAGTAGCCGTGCTCGTCGGCCTGGTAGGTCCTGTAGAAGCTGACGTGGCGGCGGGAGTTCACGCACGTGACGCTGACCCTGGCCGACGGGACCGGCCTGGCGCCGGTCAGGGACCAGGAGCCGGCGTTGTGGCAGCTCTGGCAGTAGACGACTCCTTCCACCACGAGGTCGGATTGTATCTTCGGCGGGGGAGTTGTGGCGGCGGCGGCGGGATGGTGGTGGTATTGGGGTTCGGCGGAAATTGTGTTGAGGAGGAGGAGTGAGAAGATGGTGATGATGAGGTGGCTGGGCTCCATTTTTGAGTGTGGAGGTTGTGGGAATGGATGCTTAGATTGTTGGGGTTTGTTGATGATGAGATTGAGTGATGGGTTTGTGGGGGAGATGTGGTGTTTATATATGGATGGATTGGAATTTGGATCCGCCATGGGAGATTGTTTTGTTTATGGACGTGGAGACTACTAATTGTAAGTAGGTGTAGGCAACGTGATCGTGATGCCCACATTTTTATTCTTCTTCTTCTTCTTTTTCCCTATTCAATTATTGTCGTATGTTAATGATTGATGTCTTTTGGGCATTATTATCCAATTGGGGATTTTGATGATGAATGAGAGTTGAACAGAGGGTTACATTCAGTAGACTGCTCCTTCTACGACGATGTACGATTTCTTCTGATGGGCTGCGGCAGCGGTTAGTGGGAGGAGGATGGTTATGAGGAGAAGGAGATGGTTGGTGTTGGCTGCCATTTTTGTTTTTCTCGGCAGCTTTGTGAAAACGGGGTAGAGAGAGAGAGAAGGTTGTTTATGGAGGTGGAGAATTAAGTAGGTTAGAAAAAGCCGACTTGGATTCGGGGGAGACGGCCACATTCAGTACTCTTCTTCTTCTTCTATCTCCTAAGGATTGCCAAAACAATCATGGCATTTAGCGGTGTTTTGGGTGTAACTGAAGGATTTACCCTTTTTGTTTAAAATAACGGTCTTGTTAATGATGGATTGGTGTCCTTAGGGCATTATCCAAAATGGGTTGGGGATTGTGTAGAGGAAAGTTCATTGGATTTGTAGGTAATTAACAAAGATTTTCTACTTGGATTCAATAACTCATCATCTTGATTCAGAAGTCAGAACACAGTGGGATCGGTTAGCTTGCTAACATGCTAGTAGTACTATAGTAGTTGTAGTCGTTGTTATTACAGTTGTAGTCGTTGTGTTTTGCAGTTGTAGGACTACATATCCAACGTAATCATAGTTTTTTTGGTGCAGTTGTAGTCACTGTTTTTTGTATATTCAGGACTACAACTCCGACGCGGACTACAACAACTCATGATTAGCATGATGCTAACTCATGCAGAGTTAGCACAATGTCCCATTCCGAAGAAATTATTATATGATTAGAAGCCGAATCGTGGAATATTAGGATTCTTGTGAAGACTTTTGAGTCTCAATTTGTTGTTATCCCCATTACCCTGTCAATTCATTTTAGCGATAGTGATTTGTAGGTCACATTTCACATATTGTAATGTTCATTGCCTACCATATATGTAATTTGTTGATCTTATATAACTTATATAATGGTATTATATAACCCGAATAATAGATGGTCTACATGCTAATTGGTTATTAGTATTAACTTAAATAAACTATCAGCACCATTATGTAATGTATACATAACTATTACGTTGTAGAACGATATTACTCAAGTCCTGCGTATGAGGTCTTTTCACGTGATGAAAATATACAAATCTTATTATGTAAAGTGTTAACTCATTAATTACAGAAATCTATGTGATGAATGGTCTGTTTATGTAATTGTGTATGCCACACTTGACTTAACGATCATAATCAAAGAGTAGTTTAATGTAATGATAATATTGTCATTTTATCTCTTCATGTTTTCCCTCTCAAAGTTTCGGATATTATTTAACATACCTATTCTTTCCAGAAAGCATGTTATTGGCTCAAGTAACAGAAAGACGATGACGAGTGGAGTGATTGCCTGAAAGAAGTTGTCTTTCAACATTCTGGATCATAAAGGAATCTGCTACAAAAGTGTCAAATTTGCTCAACTCATTACACCTTAATTCCAAGAACAACTCAAAAAGAAGCAAGACCTTGGTACTTTAGCAACAGAGTGCCTCAAATCTGTAGTCTACCACTATCAGATAGCACACACTAGATCCTTATTATTGACCCTATTTCATTTCGAGTTAGCAGAACAGTGCTCCATCTATCTTCCACAAACCACATAAATCTGCAAATCTTTTATTCTTTCCTTTGTCCATATAGCTAGCCTCTGCTTGTATCAAACTTGAAACCTCACTAGCAAATAAGTAGTCACTAAACCATGGTGCAAGGTCAATTTGCGCACATCTGAGGGCGAAACGCCAAGGGACCAGCAGCATAGAAAACAGCATAATGAGGCGACTTCACCACCTTCCCCTCGAACCGGAGCTTGGCTCCGTCGTTGCCATGGTTAAGATCGGTAGGCACATTGCAGGCCTCGAGCGGGGAAGAAACCAGCTTCACCGTGCAGGCCTGGATCGGATTGCCCAAACTCCCACGGCCCAACTTGGGCCCATCGAGCCACGAGTAGAAGTAGCCGTGCACGTCGGTCTGATTGATCTGGTAGACTCCGGAGTTCGCGCAACTGACGCTGACATTGGCTGATTTGATCGGCGTGGCGTCGATCAGAGACCCCGAGCCGGCGTACTTGCAGCTCAGGCAGTAGACCACTCCTTCCACGGCGACGGACGGTTTCCTCTGTTGGGCGGCGGCGGCGGCCATTAGTGGGAGGATGGCGCAGAGGAGCAGGAGTGAGCAGATTGTGGGGATTTGGCTGTGCTTGGCGGCTGCCATTTTTTCTTCCACGGGTTATGAAAATGGGCAGAGAGAAACAGAGGGAAAGACAGAGAGAAGATTGATTGATGGGAAGATTGGTGTTGATTATGGATGTGGAGACTGCTCTGCTTTATAAGTAGGTACAATCCGGCATGGATTCCGGAATTGGGAGATGGCCATACCTTTCTTCTTCTTGTTCTACTCTCTACTACGGCTATGGGATTGCCAAGAAATTGTGGCATCTAGCGGTGTTTTGGGTGCAGGGGAGACTGAAGGGTTTCCCTGTTTTGTTAATTGATTGATTGGTGTCTTTTGGGTATTATCCAGAATGGGGTAAGGATTTTTTCGAGGGATGGATGGGGAGATTCCGATGATTTGCTACTTGGATTCAGTCTTTCACACCACAATCTCTCTCTTTTAGTTTCGTATCCCATAAACTACATTAGTTTAAGTTATCTTGATTCGACTGCGATTTGAAGAACATACCCTAAGTATGGCTAAAAGTGGGTAGCGGCAGCAATATTATGGTTCTTTAGGTTGCCCAAATAGAAATCGTTATTATCGTTAGGTATTCAATGTAATGTGTTGATTAAGTAACATTTATGTACAGGTCTTACATAACAAATATAGAATGGTATTATGTATATGTAAGTAATAATGAGTATTAACTCCAAACCAGTGGCGGAGCCAGAAAATTGGTCAAGGGAGTGTTTATTCATATCAGAAAAAATCAACTATATATAATAGAAAAGTCAACATTAAACGAAATAAAAAATCGACAGCAGAATACTCAATATTTTTACAATTACATAATAATAGTTCGACTCACACCACTTATAACGAACAACAAAGAGATTTCATATTCTAAAAACATTGATCGAACACATTCCTTGTGCAAACTAGCACGCAACTCTTGTTCAGTATACGTCACCAACTCATCGTTTATCCGATTTTGAATATCATTTTTTGTATATTCATGGGTGAAAATTATCTTCCCACACTTATAGTTGCAACATACAGATATTTGTTAACTT